TAAGTGTTAGACTCACCAGCAGCCTGGCTCTCCTTGGGGCCCTCTTCAAGAAAAGAAAAGAAAAGAAAATCCCATACATCCACGGTTTCCGTGCCAATGTAGACCAGTCTTGGGCTATTAGCTGCAGTGCTTTACCAATTGTGATCATTTCAGGGCAGAGCCTTTCCACCCAGGAATGCTTGAGTGTGCCTTCTTTCTCACCGGCCTCAGGGTACCACACAACATGCCGCCCCCGTGCCAGGACTGCAAATCAATGCCAGGAGCTGTGGCCCATCCAAGCAAACTGTCTTTTGTTGTTGTTAGAAAGGGAGGAAACTTCTTCTCCAGTGCCGGTCCTTATTGAGAGTTAATGAGTCCCAACCACAATGTAAAAGAGGAATATCCATCCCAATATCAAATAAATGTGGTGTTTCGGGGTGTGCCCAGCTGGGTCAGACACTGCCCGAAGTTTCACAGCATTCCAGGCAAGATGCAAGATGTTCTTCATGTTCCAGGAAAGAATCTCCTTCCCAGGGAGCTGGCAAGTGCAGAACCTAAAAAAGTGAGCCCATCTGCTCCTGACAGAGCCAGCGCAGATGGACCCAAACCACTTTACACCGGGGCTTCAACCCGGTTCTTCTCAGTTCCAGCACCGCCGACGAAATGGGAACGGACCTGAATGTGTAAAGTGTGGAGGAACCCGCATGATAACCTGGAAGGAGAAAAAATGGGCAGGCTGCATCCTGCTAGAAACTTTAATCTCCTGTTTTAGAAAATAAGCTTAGCGTGTGTGTTGCATAGCAACCTGATCTCTTGGTTAGCAGAGTAGGAAACAACAGTGTCCGGCTCAATGATGGCAGCTGACCGGGGGTACTGCTTAGAAGGGGTGTCGCTCTCCACCCTCCTGGCAATAGCCCCATCTCTCATGTCAGGCTCCCTAAAGGGCTTCTAGCATCTCTTCCATGTTTCCCCTTCTGGGACCCTGTCCCATAATTTCTCCCATTCTCGCTATCCTTCCACTTCACCTGATTTTTAAAGCACAGGTCTGTACCAGTTTAGCTTCCCTGGCCATGACGGAACCCACTGGAACTGGCTCCGGGCACTGCTTTACACGTTCGAGCTGCTGGAGGCCAGACATGAGCTAATCCTTCATGTGTGTCCCACTTTCCAAACCTTTCCCATCCTGGTTCTCATGTCCTCAGGCTTGGGCTCCGCTGCCTCAGTCCAAAGCACCTCACCAAGACCTGCTAAGCTTGAGGCAACGAGAAGAAATTGGCTCAGGAATTCCTGACGCAAAGACCCCTAGATAGAGCTGTTTGCCTGATTGTAGAAAAATCACCCGATGACCACATGCCTGTTGGTAGGGGCCATCAAGTTGGTTCCAACCCACCACGACCCTCTGTACAGCAGAAAGCGCACGGCCCGGTCCTGCACCATCCTCACAATGGCTTCTATGCTTGAACCCCTTGTTGAAGCCACTGTGTCACTCCATCTTTTTCGCTGCCCCTCTACTTCACCAAGCATGATGTCCTTCTGCAGGGACCGGTCTCTCCTGACCACACGTCCAGAGTCCACGAGGCAAAGTCTCGCCATCCTTGCCTCTAAGAAGCACTCTGGCCAGACTTCTTCCAAGACAGATGTGTTCGTTTGTACTCTGGGCTTTTGGTATTCTCCACCAGCACCATAATTCAAATGTATCCACTCTTCTGACGTCCACATGCATAGGAGGTGTTTG